TGTAACGTGCTGGAAGTGCAAGGAGGTAGGGCATTTTAGGAATCAATGTCCGAATGATAAGAAAGTAAACATTGCTCAAGGCTCTGCGAGTGACGAGGAGGTCGCTCTGACTTGCTGTGAGGAAAGCAATGTGGATTCCTGGGTCATGGATTCTGGTGCTTCATTTCATGCCACCCACAGCGGTGAAGCATTGCAGAATTTGGTTATTAGAGACTTTGGAAAGGTACGACTAGCGGACGATAGAGCTCTTGAGGTGACGGGCATTGGTGACATGGTGTTGAAGACCTCAGTCGGTTTCTCGACTTTGAAGGATGTCAGAGTGGTTCCAGCCTTGAAGAAAAGTTTGATTTCTGTCAGGCAGTTGGACGAACAGGGACACGAGGTAAAGTTCAGAGATGGGCAGTGGAAGGTCGTGAAGGGAAATCTTGTCATAGCCCGTGGAAAGAAGAGAGGTTCGTTGTACATGGTCGGGTTACCATCTGAGGGAGTGACCGTCCCAGTTCAGAAGAGAAACAAAGTCCGGTTCACAGAGTCTCGTGGGCAGAATAAGGTTGTCTGTGCAAGAGAGAAACCTAGAGCCACTGGTCAGACTCAGGATGAACGAGCGTGGAAAGGTTCAAGGGGGCCAGTCAGAGGTATTTATGGCAGTGGGAGCTCAAGAGGCGCTTCAGCCAAGTTGCCTAGAAGACAGTGGGTCAGGAGAACCAGTATTCCAGCTGTTGGAACATCTCCAGAAAATTTCTTGCTGAGTATGGAGAGTGTTTGTTCTCAAGATGTTCCAGGATCCGGCAGTGTGCGTCTGCAGTGGGAGCCAGTAGGGACCGAGGACGAGTCAAGGTCAGATTTTGCCGTGACTGATGTGTTGGAGCTTGGGAGAGCTTCAACGGGCCTTTCAGTTGTCTGATGTTAGGGCCGCTGCAATAGGAGAGCTGAGGAAGATTACTCGATGTACAAGGAATCGTGGTGGATGGCAGTTGATGACTATCAAGCCTCCAAGTGGGAGAATGTTGGGTTTGTGGAGGCTTGGTCTTGATTTTTGGCCCGGCCCATTTTACGAAACCCTAGATGCACTCTTCCTATATATATTGCATTCTTGTACTTGTAATCGGCACCACAAGTGAAATAAGAAAATCCTCCCGTTGCAGCCGTGGATTAGGGAAACCGAACCACGTTAAATTCTTGTGTGTCGTTTGTGTTCCGTTTCTCTCTTGATTCTTGCAGATTATTTGTGTGTGTTGTGTGTTTAGTTCCCAATAGATTTCACTAACTTTTCCGCCCTGTCTTTAAATCTTGCAATGGTATCGTCCGAAAATTTGTATCTCCATTTTTTTATACAATATTCATCATTTTTAATTCAAAATTTATATAAATTAATGCAAATATATTTTTTATTAATAAAATAGATTAATAATAGTAAATAAAATAAAAGTATAAATTCAAAATTAAAAAAAGTAAATAAAAAGATTAAAATTGAAATTAAAAAATTCAAAAGGGATTACATTTAAATAGGGTTTAAAATTAAAAAAGTTATATTGAAAAAAATTGAGAAATAAGAAGCTAAAAATGGACTTGGAGCAAGGAAGAAGAAGAAGCGATCGGGCCAAGGAGGAAGGAGAAGAGAAGGGC